TCAGTGGTACTTTGTCCCATTCTTCTTGGCATATTGTTTTCAAATTCTTGATATTTGTTGATGCTCTTTTCCCAATTTGAGTTTTCAAATATCGCCATAAATTCTCGATTGGGTTCAAGTCTGGGGACTGACTTGGCCATTGAAAGACATCAACGTTACTTTCAGCTAACCATTTCCTTGTAGATCTAGCAGTATGCTTAGGATCATTATCCAGTTGGAAAACCCAATCAGGAGGTAGCCAAAGTCTCTCAACAGAACACATTAAATTGTCTTGCAGGATTTTCTGGTATCTTTTGGCATTCATCTTGCCATCTATTATTGATATTCTGCCAACACCTTTTGCAGAAAAACAGCCCCAGATCATGATACTGTCACCACCAAACTTTACAGTTGGCAACGTGTTCTTTGGTAAGTAGGCTTCACCGTCCTTCCTCCACACATGATTTCGATAATTATGACCAAACAACTCTATTTTAGTTTCATCTGTCCATAGTACTTTTCCCAAAAACGAATATTCTTTATCCTTATGCTCTCTAACGAATTTTAGCCTAGCATCTCTGTGTCGTTTCAAGAGGAGTGGAGTCTTCCTTGGGATGCGTGATTTCAGACTGTTTTTGTATAGTTCATTACTTATTGTATGCTTGGTTACTTTAATCCCTAATACACGCAGATGTTCCTGCAGCTCTTCTCTGGTAACCTGTGGATTTTGTTGGATCTGGCGTCCTAATATCCTTGCTGATCTTAGAGAAATCTTCCTCGGAGCACCTGTTCGTCTTTGGTTTTCGACACTGTTATGAGTTTTAAACCTTGCAATGAACGAAGCAATTGTAGTAAAAGGAATATTCAGGTTGTTAGAAATCATTCTGTAACTGTTCCCATCTTTCCCAGGAGACAAAATGTGTTGTTTTTGTGAAATAGTCAATTCTTTACCTTTAGGCATTATTAGAACCTTCTCGTAAGACTAGAAATTGCAGAATGCTCTGATAATAGCTAATAGTGTTAACTGTAATTACTCATAACATTACTGGAACATTCTAGAATATACTTTTTTCATAATTAATTGATTATTTTACTCTAATAATTGATTTGTATGAATACTTTTTTCACCAGTTAGAATTAAAAAAATGCATTAATTTCTGTTAGAATAAGAATTAATTAAGTTTATTATTATTTTTTAATAGTATGTGTCTTTATACATAAAATGTGCCGAGATTTGTTTTATTTAAGGCTTTTACATTTATAAAAATACAATTTTTCAAATGTACGAATATTTATTCCCCCCCCCCCCTTGTATATACTCTCCACCATTTCGGAGAAAACTATCAAAGCAGAGTCTTTGGAGAGAATAAGAAGAACAAACACAATGTTTGGACTTATGCAGAAGTTGAATTTATACCTGGTTAAAGAATTTACTATAAACAACAAGGGCTTGAGAGGACCTGCTAAGGTGTATGGAGAAAAAAAAAACAATTTTGTATTGATCTACCATGGTACTGAATGCTACAGATGTTACCTTTGTCAATTTAAAAAATTCAGCAATGAAGAAGTACATGATAATGGTTTGGAGAAAAAAATACTAGGACTCAAACTACCAATGAGACAAAAAAAAATGAACATCTGAATGCTGATCCATGTTCTGAAGATGAAAGTGAAAATGAAATTGAAACTGTGATGCTTAACTATGAATCAGGATCTGTTAGAGATGCACACTCTGGAACTAATGCCATTAGCAAAGTTGTGGATGAATACACTGACCAATCTGATTTGGAAGTTGTTGATAAAACCAACATTAGTGTCGAGTTACATGATGGGAAATTGTTAATGTTGATGAAACCCATTATGAGTCTGAAATGCAAATTACAGAAAAGGACAAGGATACATTTGACTCAAGTCCTGAGAGACTAAATAAATTTAATATTCAACCCATGAATAATACTATTCTGCAGTATGCTCTTCCAGATGGGACTATTTTTAAGGACTTTGTTATCTTCTCACCCAAAGAAGTTCAGTAAATGGAAAGAATGAATCAATGTGAAAGTAGTTGGGACATATCAACCAAGCTCAATAAATTGGAATAAAGTTTTTTGGTGGAGAAAAGTGAGTGACTCAGAGCAGGTATTGGTGTTGTCTGATATTGAGGCTTGCCAACAAGATGTCATTGATGCAAAAAACAAGGAAATTAAGAATTTGGAAAACTATAATATATTCAAATGGGTAGATGATAATGGACAGAAAACAGAAGTCATGTAAATGGATGTTGCACAAAAAATATTTACCTGATGGGAGTAAAGGCATGTCTTGTAATGAAACGGTTTGAAGAGAGGCTTGCTGATAAGAGAATTGACAGTCCAACATGCATTAGACAGGCACTTCATCTGGCAATAGTAACAGCCTCAATTAAACCTTATTCAATCAACATCTCTTCCACATTCTTGCAAAGAAATGAAATCAAGAGAACGGTATATGTAAAACCACCACCTGACCTTCATTAAGAAGAGAAGTTATGTTGTTTAAAAAGGTGTTTATATTGTTTGACTGAAGCTTCAATTTAATTTTCCACAGTCCCAATGTCTCCTGGCTGTGATGTGGATTGGGTCATCCTGGAGGAGTTGAGTGGAACTTTTAAAAAAACTAGCAGATTATACATGAAAATCAAAATATTTGAAGCAGATTTTTTTTTTGTCTTCATTAGCCATTTATAGGACCAATAAGCTAACTTTCCTGAGATATACCAAGGGTTTGTTCTAGGACATCTCTATTAAGACTATGAATGTCCTCACCTATGGCATATTTTCTTAGTTGCACAACACCAGTGAACCAATTATAACATTAGCTAGTTGAAATAGCAGAAGGCTCAGGTCTAAGTAAAAGGGTAAGACTTATTAGCAACTTTAAGTGCTTCAGTGTTGTTTACAAGAGACTCCATCTTATTTACAAGTGACTATGAAGATAACATTGTGGAGGAGATTTCACTTTTTCTCAGAATATTTTGATAGCCATTCAAGAGGAATTTCTTTGTTGGTAAACTGTTTATTGAGTGTGTGTTCATTTGTGTTTGCAGATGCAGTAGGCAGACTGCATGCTGGAGAAAGTGTTTTATGTCTTTGATGTTTATGCACACATTGTTTAGTAGGGAGTGGGCAGCCTATTTTTAATGATGTTATCAAGACAAGTAGTTTTAGTGGGTGATTGGAATGGTATACTTGATCCTAATTTTGAAGAGTACTAATATTTCCTTTGGATATAAAAAGATTGTGAAATTATTGCCAAACTTAATTTAGTTGACTCATTTCAAGGGGAACATCCAAAGCAGGTAGAATGAATTTAGACAGAGTGACTTTGAGGGACCATTTTAGCTACATTGATTGAACTGGATCATCTGATAGCCCTGAACAAACTTTTGCTGTGAAAGGGAGGACTATCTAAAATAACCTGTATTTGATGTTCATGATCATAAAGAAAGTAAATGATCAAACTGTGGTGAACAATTTAGATCACTCCAAATCTTTCAACAGAGTGGATCATTTTTATTTATTTATTTTTTTTGGATACTGTCTTTTCTGTGGCTGGTTTGATCCACACTTTCACTCTTGGATACACCTCTTGTACATGATCCCTGGAAGAGAGTAAGATTTAAGCTTTTCATGTTCAGATATATTCATGTTCAGATATATTCATCATTTTCAACCATGCTGTATGTCTTTGTGTTGGAACCATTACTGCACATATTGAGCATGAACCTGGTTCCGTACAAAGGTTGAAAAAGATACTGGACTTTATGAGGCCAAAATTAACTGTGTTGTCCATTTGGCTTGTAGTTAGGTTTGTGCGAATGTCATGTCTCTTGCATCTTCAGTTGGAGAATGTGCCATCCCCATACCAATTGGAGAATAATTGGTTAGAGGTATTGTATCCTTTCTTTACTGATTAACATTACTTCCACTCCTGTGTGCAAATCTTGCTGAGTATAGTCCCCTTTAACTGCTTTGGGCTCAAAGGCCTCCAGGAAAGGTCTAGGAATGTTGAATATCAAGATCTGTTGGTATATCTAACATTTATATTTTTCTAGGCCAGAATTGTACACAAGATGAAAACAATGTCATATTCTTGAAAGAAGATGCTTAGAGAAGTATGTATTTGGATGCTGGGGAGAAAGACTTGTCAGCCCCATGATAAAATAGTTTTTTTTTTTATGATAAGCTAATTTAACTCCGCTAAGAAATGTATGCTCATTGTTCATTTTTATTTATTTTTTTTTAGTTAACCACGTTTCCATTTCTGACTTAGCCCCCCCGATTAGATGACAGAAAGTAAAGATCTCTAGCAATGTAGGAGTATTTCACTTATTTTATCTTTTTTTTTTTAACTTTCATTCTATATTTTCTCACATGATTTTTTGACTAGTTAACTTACTTTTCTGCTATATTAGACACAGTGAGGTGCACATATACTAACATATTTTTGTAGACATGTTATGTAAATAAGTAGGAAAAATAAAATTGTATTTTTTTTAATCCTTTTCTCACATGAGATTTTAAATCTAGAAAGAATGTGTTTTTTTGGTGTTTGTTGCTTGACAGATTTGAAATAAATGTGATGTTATGAAAAAACATAGAATGGGTGCATCAGTAAATGTTATTATTTAAGTTAATGACACCTGATACTTCCATTTCACCTTATCGTTCAACAGTGTTGTTTTTTTGTATTTTGTACAAGAATAAGTATTGCAAAGCTTACTCACTGTCTACCTTAAAGACAAACAAGGTGTGTGCTAAGAGGAATACAGCAAAATTTTTTTGCTGTTCATCTTTTATTTCTGTTAATTAAAGATCAATTATCATGTTATCTTTTCTTTTCATGTGCTTTGTTTTTCTGCAATTTTCAGGAGTTTTGTTTCATAGTTTATTTGTAGGTATTATACAGTTGTCTTTTATTGTCATTGAAAATACTTTATCAGTAATTTTAAAAGTTGGTTCAAATCTCTGGTGTCATTTTTGCAGGAATTTTGGAAATATGTAGTAAACCAATTCCTGTGGGAGTTCCTTGTCCTTTTCCAAGAAATCTAATTTCTGTGTTGAATGTTGAAGGTGCTTACATTTTTCTCCATAAAAGGTTAGTTATTATAAAATATTACTGTGTATTCATGCTTGTGATATTGTGAGAATACAAAATTAATAAAAAAGTTTTGTTCTTATTTTATGAGTTGGGTTTAAATTTAGTTCCTATTCCATTCCTAAATATTTATTAAGCAAAACTTTGTTTAGTATGCAGTCATCTGGTGAGGACATCCAGTAGGGAGCTAAGTTTGTATTATACAGATGAAATGGAGTTGAGTAAATATCTATTCGTTTGAAATTTAGTTGTCTTCTGAAGGACTCTGCATAATTTTTCTGGTTTGCCTGGAAGAAAGAATGCAGATCCGATAACTTTGTATGTTTTTGACCAAATTGACAAAATAGAATCATACCTGCTCATCTATTGTCCTAGCATTTTAGGAAAACTTATAAGTATCCTCATTATCAAAATTTAGAATGAAATTATTGCTTAAAATACATTATTTCATTTTGTTAATTTCTTGTTATGTTCAGAGATAAAGAAAGCTATGCAAATGTTCTAAGATTTATTATTACTGAGTTGTTTTATTTATACAAACCAGTTGCTGTTATTTTCTTAAAGAGGTGATCATTAATTTTTGGCTTTTATATAAAACTTAATATTTTCTTTTGATTATTAAAGGTGAAAATTATGTAAATTTGATTTTTAAATTTGCATATTGATTCTTATTTATGTCTTACATTCACTCAATTAATGTCTTATTGACAGGTGCTAACTTTGGAATATATGAATTTTCTTCTTAATTTTTAATCAAGAACAGAATGCTATTGTCAACTAATATGGAGTTAGAGGAAAAGATCTTTGTGAAAAGCTTTACTTTATCTGACAAAGATATGAGAACTTCAGTGCCATTTATGATAGTACACACTAATGCTTTGCCTCAATTAAGAATTTGGTTAGATTTTGTAGAACTCATGGGAATCAAGTGGTTTGCTTTTAGCCTTGGCTTGGATGGCTTGTGCATAGCTACACTTTGTATTTTAAAGAACTCTCTTGCAATGATTGCAGGCAGTTCTGAATTCAGCAAGTGACCTATTACACCACTCCCTCTGGTAGATATTGTAGTAGTTGGTACACTGATCTATGGCTGCAGCATATTCTGAAGTGAACTACGGCTGGCTATTCATTTTTTTCTGGGATAGAAAATCAGATAGACTGATTTGTGTTTCTTTGGCTTAAGTATCACATTTGAAAATAGTTATTGCTAGAAAAAAAATCTTTCTCTTTGAAATAAAAAGTTTCCTTGTTAAAAATATGATACTGAAACACACCAAAGATGCTTCTGGAGTCAGACTTTAGTTAATGAATGTATGTATGTGCATGCATGTATGTATGTGTATATATATATATATATATATATATATATATATATGAAGTTGGATCCATAAATTCACATTCTGACATGTAGTTATTAACTGAATTTTGATGTAAAATGTTGACTGCATAATCTATGTGATTAATATTCACCTCTGAATTAAGTACATTGACAAAGAAGATAACATTGAGTAAAATGAATGTTTATCCTCATTATTCTACAGACTTACTAATGTATCTACATAAACATGTAATATTAAGATGGTCACATTGATTTCATGAAACTAAAAATTAAGATATTTGAAGTTCATAATCTTTATCAATTTTTTTTGTAGGGCTGTCGTCCTCATCATTTTAAAGTTTTTGTTCCTTTCCTCACATGTAAAGTTTGGCCACAGAAATATGGTGAACTTCAAGAATCGGAACTAAAGGTAATTCCACCATTTATAGAAACATGATTATTATATTCTTCAGTCCGTTTATTTTTTCATGAGTCCTTTGTTGTGGGTTTTTCAAGTTTTCATTACAAATACAAAGAAATCAAGAAACTCCTAATGGGATTGAAATCTTAATCATTGTTTCTGAAATGGGTCTTCTGTTCTAGACATGATTCAATGTCTTTCAGAAAAATTGTCTTATATCCAATGATCTTTGCCTTTGATTTTGTGGATTTATTCTACAGTAATTTTTTATGAACTTTTGCTTTTAAATCTTTTATTTTTTTTAATTTCATTCAACAATTCATAATATCTTTAAAAAAAGGTTAATATTTCAAAAATTTACCTGCTATTTGTATCCGTGTTCAGCAATTATGAATAAATGTTTCTTGAATGCTTTTATTAAAATAATTGATAATAATTTACATGTGAGTAAGACATTAATTTTGCAATTTTGTAAGGATTTATAGCTTGAAGGAATTCAAGTGGAGGAACTCAACCAATTTCCAATAGATAAAAAAAGTGAGTTATATTTGATTCCTGCTCATCTATTGTCCTACCATTTTAGGAAAACTTATTAGTATCCTCATTATCAAAATTTAGAATGAAATTATTGCTTAAAATACACTATTTCATTTTCTTAATTTCTTATGTTCAGAGATAAAGAAAGCTATGCAAAGATTCTTCTCCTTTTTTTTTTTTTTTTTAAATTACAAAAATGTTTTGTCTTTTTAATAATCATCCAGTGATATTACATCATGTTTTTTTCCTTTTAAACTCTTATCTTCAGAGTTGAATTATTAAAATCCTTTGGCTTTCTGAAATGTGTCATGATTTTGTTTCAGGTCACTTCTGTTCTAGACATGATTCAATGTCATTCAGAAAAATTGTCTTATATCCAATGATCTTTGCCTTTGATTTTGTGGATTTATTCTACAGTAATTTTTTATGAACTTTTGCTTTCAAATCTTTTTTTTTAATTTCATTCAACAATTCATAATATCTCTATTTTATGACTAGAAAACATTCAAGTGTTGAAAAAATCTAAAAAAAAGGAAATCAATAGTGTTCAGATGTGTACATAAAATAAGCTTTGAAGTAAAGGTCTATAAAAGTAAAAATACTTTTCATATGCCCCAAAATATTATTTGCTGACTCATCAGATATTCATGTTTAGTATATTGTGTGTCACACATTTTTGCATTTGGTGCTCTGTCCCCAGACTAATGATGAATTGAACATAGTGTAATATTTTGATAAATTATGCATTGAGTCACTGATTAGTTAATTAGTTTAAAATGAGTTAAAAGCTGTTTATTTTAGAATATTTTAGGGGCTAATCCCTAATATATTATTTCTTTTTAGGGATGTATAACTAATACTAATCAAGACAAGAAAGAAAAGAAGTAATTTGAATGAAACCATGAAGTGGCCTATCTTATTCACTAGGAAGAAATCCCAGCATGCATCTTTGTGTTTTGCCTATAAACTTGGGAAGGGGGACGTTTTTGCAATCATTCCTAATTAGACTGCGTCAGTTGGGGCTGTTCTTAGTTGATTTATTGCACTTAGTCATGATGGGAAACTAGTGGGAGCAGTTATTGGAAATACCTGGTGGGAGAGGATTAAGGATAGCATTAGTTCTTTCAATGACTCGCCTTAGACAGGGCTAAAATGGTGAAGGCTCTAGAGGATAGTCCCTAGAGATAGCACTAGCTAGACAGGCTCTGGAGTGTGGGACTAGTAAGCGCTATCAGGGCCAGGTAATTAGACATAGGTTAAACAAGATGTCTAATGAAGCTGTGAATATTGGTGCAGAATTGCGCAAGGAAGAGATCTGTCAAAGTTCCAATTGACCCATTTGCGAGGTCAATACTGAGGGCATGTGTGAGGTGTTTCAGCAGCATTTCGAGAGCTGTTTTACCAAGGAGCTTGGTCTCAGTGGTGACGAGTTTTGCAGCTATTTGGCTGTCTTTCATCGACTGAAGTGGCTAGCTGCGAGGGTGGGATCACAGAGGGTGAAGTTCACTTGGCATTGAAGAGTGTTGGCAGTGGCAAGTCTCTGGGACTTGATGGTTTGCCCTATGAATTGTAGTTGAGGCTGTTGTACATCTTTGTTTCGATTTTGACAGTGGTATTTAACAACTGGTTCCAGCAGGGGTCCATCCCTGATTGGATCTCTAGGGGTGTGATCATGCTGTTGAAAAAGGGCAAGGGTGTTGGGTGGGAATTATATGATTATAGGCCCGTAACTCTGCTAAACACAGAGTTAAAGATTTTGGCCAGGATCCTGATGGAGCATTTGCAGTCAGTTGTTGCGAACTTGTTGGGGCCCACGCAGACTTGTGCTGCAACCTGCATCTACTCTGCATGATCATAGAGGGTGTAGAAGATGATGAGGAAACTGTGCTGATTAATTTAGATCAGTCCAAGGCATTTGATAGGGTTGATCATCGGTACCTGGTGGCTATCCTGTAGGCCACTGGATTCAAACCCAACTTCTACAAGTGGATCAACCGCCTGTATTGCTCCCTCAGTGCTGTGGTACCGGCGAATGGTAAGTGGTTGAACATTTTGTGCAATCATGGTTGGTTCGTCAGGGTTGTATGCTGTCACCTTTACTTTATGCTTTGGTATTGGAGCTCCTCCTTTGCCAGCTAAGGAAAACGATGTGTAGTCTGGTCCTACATGGAATCATTGTCCCTGGAGGTTGAGCCACGGTTTCCATGTACGCCTATGATGTGCCTGCTTTTGTGTCATGTGATAGTGACATTGAAGTAATATAGAAGGCAATTGAGTGGTATGAGAAGGTGACGGGGGACAAAATTAACTGTGATAAGTCATCCGGCTTGCGGTTAGGTGCCTGGAAGAGGGTTGTGCTTCTGAGGCCCTTTAGTTGGACAGATGGACTTGTCTGCATTCTTGAAGTGTGGTTCGGGCCTAGTCTCCAGCTGAAGAAGAATTGGTCCAAAGTACAGTCAAAGGTTGAAGTGCACAGTTCGGACTTGGCTTCAACGGCGGTTGTCCATAAAGGGCAAGGCAAGGCAGAAACAAGGCACTCGATCGTTTGTTGGCCTTTCTCTTGCAAGCATCTGGACTGTACAAAGACTGTTGCCTAACATCTGTGTCAGGGGGTGCTGGGAATGCTGCACTTGTTGTGCCATCAACACGCTTCAAGGTTGGTGTTTCTATGCTGCATGTTGATAAAAGATTTGATTTTGGAAGGGTTAGGGTTAGGGACACCTTCCCTAACCCTTTTACCATCACTCTCTTTGTTTCTGAGGCCGAGTGCCATTGTAAGCGCTTTGGAATCAATCGAACTTCCTGTGAGAATGTCAGGTGGCCTTAAGGACTCTTTCTTGCTTCAGTGACCTTTCATGGCCTTGTAGGCTATTGTATCGTGATTTATTGGAGGGGGTCACGACGGACCGCCTTTGTGGCTGGCTTGGCTTGTTGGCATCTGAGTTACATTTTCTGGTCTTGGGTGCCAATGGTGGACTACCTCAGCAACTCTGAGTTTTCACTTACCTGGTGATTGATTCGTAATGTACTACCTCTCAATGACACAGCCTTCAGATAGGGTGGGCAGACTTCCCTGACTGTCATTGGTATGACCTTGGTTTTAGACGAAACAGCTTTGCACACCTTCTAACATTGTTCTCAGGTGTACCCTTTCTGGGACTATGTCAGTTAGTTGATGGCTTGTAGTGCTCTCGATCCTCTTGTGTCCATTGGTGTCATGTATGCCTGTGACATTGTATCACCCCCAGGGTGAAACGGATGGTATTTCTCATGTTGCTAATGTGCAACATGAGAATACAAGAATGGTAGTATGAATGTCGTGAATGGAGGGATCTTGTGATGTGGGCATCATTCTGATGGTTGGATTCTTTGGGCATCAGCTCAGGATGAAGATCAGATTTGATAGAAAGCATTTGATATCAACAGATTTCAGCGAATGGTGGGTACCTATGGCGAGCCTGGTTTCTGTGAATGAGGCTAGCCTTGATTTTCTTTTAAGTTCCCTTGAGCACAATGGGGTGGTCTCCTATAAACCCTCCCCTGTTTTTAGTTAGACTGTTTTATGTTTTCCTAGTTAATGTGAATAAGTGTTGTTCCTGGCACTTTCATTTGTTATTAGCCATGTTGAGATTCCCAACCTCACCAGTTTGTTTTTGTTCTCTTTTTTCATCTCGGCTGGATCAGACTTTGGTTTTTCCCACCCCAATCTTTAATTTTTCCTTCCCCACTCCATTACTAAGTGTGCTGCTTGATTCTGTTGAACAACAGAATACAGTGGCCACTCTCATCATTTTGAGGGTTGGATGGGTCCTACTAACATTTGTTTTGTTTTAGTTTAAATATTTTGTTTCATTCTTTAGTTTCTTTTTGGTTCATTCCCTCCCCCATCATTGCAGTCATCATAAACATTTTTATATATTTTTATAGGGGGAAAAAAAAAAAATGAACTGCACAAATTTTTACAGGTGAGTCGCAGGTAAAGCGATTCTGCAGAATTGCATGCAAAGGAGATAACTCGGTATCAATGATTAGCTATTCCAGTTGCAGTCAACATGTCAAAATAAATTTGTGTTTTTACGTAGTTTATTTTCAGAAATTTTAATTTTCATTTACTTCAGGAACTGTTATAATAAAAAAAATTACACGTGTTTTAGTATGTTAGTAGATACAAAATTGAATCATTTTTATAAAAAAACAAAAAATTTTTAATTAATATTATATTAAATTAATATAAATTTATTATAAATGAAATAATATGATTAATATCAATTAATTATAAATATGAATTTTTAATAAATACAATGAATGAATACATATTAGAAAGGAAATAGGGTTATTTTATTAAAAAATATCATATATTTGATTAAATTTTTGCATTAAATTTTTTATAAAATGGTCTATTTTATTTAAACTAATATACTGAAACA